CATGGAGCGCAGGTCCGCGGTGCCCGGCATCGTGGCGGCTCGCTCGCTCGCTCGTGGCGGTCGATCCGGTTTTTGGTTGTGCAGCCAGCCGGTGGCCCCCATCTTGCGGGTGCCGCACGGCGCCGCTGGAGGGCCTGGCATCGCTCGGACGTGTGCATTTTTGCGCGGCGAGAACCATTGAGGACGATCCTGGACCCTCGAGCAAAAAAAACACGCACGAAACCGAAACATGCACGGGAAATGGACGTCCGAGCGATGGCGAGAAGGGGCCCTTCGGAAAATGGGCCGCTGCGCCCGCCGGTGAGGCCGACGAGGTAAGAAGGGGGAGGAACGGACGGGGGCCCGAAAGAAGATCCGACGAAGGCATCTATACACCACCACTGTGCCAGGCCAGGGCCATCCTGGGCCCCAGGATGGTGTATAGACCCTCTTGGCCTCGGCCAGGAGGGCGTCTACACCATCCTGGGGCCCAGGATGGCCCTGCCTCGACACGGTGGTGGTGTATAGATGCCTTCTGCGGAGAAGAGGTTGAAAGGAGGACCACGGACGGCGGGCGAAGCGAGGAGGGGAGGACGACGAGGTGGAGTTGCGGGTCGAAGCGCCCGCCCCGTCTTCCCCCACCGCCACCCCCAACACCGCCCTCAACACGGAGTTCACCTCCAAACTCAACCAATTCCCATCCCTCCCTGCCCCTCAGAGGTGGTAGCATTTCAGGAGGATGCAGTTCGTGCGCGTGGGTTCGCCGAGGAAATAGGGGGCAGGGGTGCTCATGCTGACGATGCGGGGGATGAGGTACAGGGAGTACTGGCTGGCGAGGAGCAGTTGGAGCGTAGAGCGGAGGTCGGGAAGGCGCATCTGTTGGCTGTGACGGCGTCGGGCGCGTGGGCACCTCGTGCGGTGAGGCGAGGATGGCGAGGATGGCTATTGCCGTAGTTCAAGGGGGTGATGGCGAGGATGGCTATTGCCGCAGTTCAAGGGCGTAGGTTGTTGTTGGACTCGTTGAGGTTGTCGATGGGCCTGGACATGGAGTCCTTGGCCAGGGTGACCTCCTTCTGGATGCTGAGGGCCTAGTTGTAGCTGACGTGTCGTTTGCCTACCATCGTCGTGAGGATGTCGAGCTTATCCTGGATGTCGTTGTGGTGGGATTGGTATTAGGTGATGATGTCTGATATCAGAAATTCTTTGGTGTTTCGCATGGCAGTGGTCTGAGCGATGGTGCCGCCCCTTGCGCCAATAGATTGTTGTTGCTGTTGTAGGACATGCTGACGATTGTGACCTCGTCTCCCTCGTTCACCGTGGTTGTGCCGTGTTCGAGAGAGGCCTCCAACTTAGCGTGGAACGAGTGGCGTATGGTTGCTGCCATCGGGAAGTTGATCGCGTCGGGGTTGACCTTCTCGTGTGTGATCGTGGTGATGGGGAACCAGCCACTGGGCCTCTGTGGCACGACCTCTATGGCAGGTGGTTGGTTGGCGTTTGCTGCTGGCGTGCTGTCGCTGGACGTCGGGTTGGAGCAGCTGGGTTCCCTGGCGATGGCGCGTTGCTCCTGTGGGTCGAGTTCGTGCTGTCTGGTTTCGTCCTCGTAGTCGATCGCGTGTGTAGGCCGTTCTGCTGTTTCTTTTCGGACTGTCGGTAGGGTAGGTGGCGCTTTGAATCTCGCAGGCGTCGCTGCCGGGATCGCGCCGCTATGCTGGATTGGTCGGTGCTGCTGGTTGGGAGTCGGTACTGGTGATATGGTTGATGGGGTTGCGCTGGTAGGTGCGTCTGCGCTGCTCGTAGGTGCTTCGTCGTTCGGTAAGTGCGCCGTGTCGTTTCCCCGTGCTCGTGCATGGTGACTTCGCGCGCGCTCGCGTCTCGAGCCGGTGGTACCTCGACGTGTATCTCGCGGTCGAGCGTGCAGTGGTCGTCGTATGGTGCGAGTATTGTTCTGGGGCTGCGCAGCTGCTTGATGCGGTGGATGGTGCGACTGACGCGTGGAAGGTGTGGGCCTCCCTCCAGACATAGGTGCGACCACGAGCATGTTGTTGCAGAAGGTGAGGAGCGGCTTGGGTTCCTGGTTGACTTTGAGGTGGGGAAACGAAGGTGCCGCCTGCGATGTCGCTGTGCCACATGTGTGCTCGATCGACCCATTCGTGTGCTTCTTGCTCCTGTTGGTATTGGGTCCTCAGCTTGTGGAATGGGTCGTGGGTGGTCTGTTTCATTGCTTCGTCGACGTGCTCTCGTTTCGCAGGGTACTCTGGCATTGGGGGGGGTGATCGGTGGCAAGGGGGGAATATCGGCCTGAGGCTGTGGTAGAAGCAGCCGCCCATGTTGATGCTGAAGGCCTCGGCGCTCTGATCGGTTAGCTGTCGAGTGCAGCGTGGGTCGTAGTTGGCGTCGCCTGTGAACTCCCACTGGGTGACGCCTGTCTGCATGTTGTGGTAGTAAGCGAGGCTCATGTTTACGTCGGCGACGGCCTGCCATCCTGGTGGCAGCATTGCATAGCGGTTGGGGTCGGGCCGCAGCATGTCGCCTTGATTGTACATTGGCGGAGCGACTGGGTTGCGGAAGTATCGGGCGGTCGCCGTCGTCGTTGTGGTTACTATTGGGGCTCTGCCTGGGGGCGGTCACTTTGGCGGCGGCGGCTGATACAGTGTCGGGGTCGCGTTCTGGTTGTATAGGAGCTGGAAAATAGTCGACGTAGGTAGAAGGATGGTATATTGGACCTGTGGTGCTGACCTTCTTTATATGAGCTGCAGGTCGGTATTTGCTGGGGTAGTTCGTGCTGGTCGCCGCGCTTGTTGTGGTCGGACATCTGAAAAGGCTGCACTCTAGTCGGGGAAGTAGCCCTGGGTCCAGTTGATGGGCTGAAAGCCAGCGTTGCGTAGCTTCTGGTGGTGCTGAAGCAAGTGGCGAGAGTTGTGGTTGTCCTCGCTCTCGGTGCGGTACTGTCTTGCTGTGTCTGCGTCTGGTTCAGATAGCTTGTCGGTGTCGTTGACCTAGATCAGCATGATGCCACCTAGCAGCATTGCTGTGGGTCGCCTGTATGCTGGCGGTTCGTAGTCAGGTCTCTGTCTTATCTCTGGTAATGCATTTCCATATGGGGTGAACTCGACGTGGTGAACGATGATATCCTGCCCGTGGGCCTCCGTGTGGGCGTTGGTTGTTCCGTCGATTCTCGTTGTGCATGTCTCCGAGGTCGTGGTGATCTCCTGTAGCACCTCGACTGGGTATTCGATGAGGGCGCTGTCGATGATGGAGGGCCACTTGGAGAAGTCATTGGTGGGTGAGCGCAGTTTAAAATCGTCACGTGGTCGATCTCCTTCATGGGCAGAAGCGGCGTTCGGCATGTGCCCGTCCATGAAGATTGTAGTGCGATTTCTTGTTGGTGGCAAAAGTGTGCTGGTACTCGCTGTCCCCTGAGGTCGGCTTTTTTCGCAGCGCAGTTCGCCGATCGTCTGCGGAGTAATGTGATGGCGGCCGGCGGGCAGGATGTAGTTGTCCGTGCATGGGCGTAGTGCCCTTCCTCCGCGGGTTTCCACGATATCTCTTGCGTATGCTGCCACTGTGCAAATTTCTGAGGTGTGGTGCAGCGTGCCGTAGATGTCGGTGACTGCCGCGGTGTGCGCATGCTGGGTGTCTCTCTCTATGTTGTTGTGGATGGCATTGCGCTCGATCTCTTCGAAGTTGCGACGCTTCTCCATGCCTTTCCTTCTCATGATGCGCAGCTTCTGGAGGTTCTCGACGGGCTCTTCGTCCTTGGTCTTCCAAGGTGGTGCTTGTAGCAGTGGTGGCACGGTGGTTGCCAGCCTTTGGATGTCGTGCCACTCCAAGTTGTGGACGGGGGTCCTCATGAGGTCTCGGTCGTTTGCTGCGTCTTTTTGTGTGCGGTATGTTGTGGCTGTGCGGTAGGGAGGGCAATGATCAGGTCGATCCATCCAATGGTCTGTGTCGGTCCATAGTTCGTTATTGGAGCGCCCTGACGAGGTAGTCGATGTCGGATTTGCAGTTCTTGCGGTACTCCTTGACTCTGTCGAAGCGGTGCATTGGAGGCGGCTCGTTCCCAGGTTGCTGTCTTCTGGCTTCAGTGAGGGTCATGCGAACAATGTTAGCAGTTGTCTATTTTCTCTTCTCTTGTCTGCGTTGCACGTTGAGTCTGTGCTGTTGTTGTTTCTGTGTGTTATGCTGGCGCTGCTGTCCCATGGAGCTTTTGCCGCCCGTGCCGCGGGTGTCCTCACGGCTGCGGACGCGCCTTTATGTCCGAGGGGCTTTTGTGGCGTCCCCTCGGTGTTGCTGGCGTCGGTGCTGGTACTGCTGTTGGTGCCACTGCTTATTGTGGTAGCTACCGACTCGAGTCTGAGCTATATTGGTCGCCATGGTGGTGTCGGGTGGTCGTTTTGGTTGCTGAGAGCTGTGGTGGTTGGAGACTCCTTGTCGTGCTCGGTCGAGTCCAAGATGCACGCGAGCGTCGGCACGCTCGCGGCGTAGGCGACGGTGCCAGGCAGGCGACCGTGGCCGCAGGGAGGCCCTCTGGAGTGAGGGCGCGGTGACCCCGCAGTTGAGGCGGAGGAGGAAGCACTGGGAGAGCTTGTGCAGGTCAGTATTGCTGTTCAGGTGCGGGGGGTAGTATTGTTGTTCAGGTGCGGGGGGTACCTGATGATCCGAGTGCCGTAGATGTGGCACAGCAGGTCTACCGTGTCCCTGTGCGCGGGCGCGTATGGCGCCGCGCTGGGCGCTGCCCGGCCGTGGCGGCGGGAGCGCTCCTCGGCCAAGCGCCTGCGTGGCGGCTGCTGCTCCTCCCCCCCCCCAGAAGCCCTGGAGGTTCCCCGCCGGAGGTCCGCGCACCACCAGAGGAGGGTCCAAGGCGTGCAAGAAGAGCGTCGACCATCGAGGTGGCCAGCCTGGGCCTCGCCGGGGTCGGCCTCGGGGATTGCAGGGCTGGCGCCCCTCCCCCGCCGCCCCCCTCCCCTCTCTCGCCTCGTGCCCGCCGGCGGCACCAGGTGCGGCGCGCGGTGCCCCGCACGATGGCGCCGCTCCTGTTCGGCGGGCTGCTGATGGGCCAGCACGAGGCACCGCGGCGGCGCAGAGGGGCGCAGGAGGCAGCTGCGGAGGAGGAGCTGCGGCCGTCGAGCTCGAGGAGGGCTCGAGGAGCTGCGGGGTCCCTCGAGGCCCGTGGCCGCCCATGTGGGGGTCCTGCGTCGGGCCCTGCTCCCGGGCCCGGCGAGGAGCACGGCCCGGCCGGGGGATGGAGGCGTCGAAAGAGATTCCTGACAACGGATGGATGGAGGCGATGGAGGCGATGGAGGCGATGGAGGCGATGGATGGAGGCGATGGATGGGGCGGCCGATTCGGACAACTCCGGACGTCGGACGCCCGGGAAGGGCAGGGCCGGGTCCGTTCGCCCGCGAGCGCCGTCGGGCTCGTGCAGTGGGCTCTGCGTTCGCGCGAGCGCCGCCCCCTTGGGTGGGTGGGGGGCTTCAGGGCCGTTGGTCCTCGCGATGGCGAGTGCCGCCATCTTCCCCGCGCGCTCGAGCTCTGTGACTTGGCGCGCCCTCGGCGTCGCGGGCTCCTCCGCGCTCCCCTCGTTCCCCACGCAGCGTCTGCAATTCTCAGACCTTTCTTGTCTGTAGGTGCGTCGAGGATTTGCCGCGTCCCCGCCCGTTGCCGTCCGTTGCCGCCCGCCGCCGCCCGTTGCCGCTCGTGTTGGGGCGCCGCGGGTCCGCCACGCCCCGGCCCGTTACCGCCTCGCTGCCCGCCGCCGCCCGCTGCCGCTCGCGTGGGTGCGTCGAGGCTTCGCCACGTTCCGGCACGTTGCCGCGCCCGTTGCCGCTTGCGCCGGTGCGTCGAGGATTCGCCACGTTTGGGCCCGTTTCCGCCAATCGCCGCCCGTTGCCGCTCTTGGCATCGCTCGGACGTGTGCATTTTTTTCTCGGCGAGGACCCTCGAGGACCATCCTGGACCATCGAGCAAAAAAAACACGCACGACATCGAAAAATGCACGGGAAATTGACGTCCGAGCGACGGCAAGCGCTCGTGTCTGCGCGTCGAGGATTCACCACGCTCCGGCCCGTTGCCGCCTCGCTGCCGCCTCGTGCGCTCCCCCGTATCCAGTGTGGAGACGCGAAGTGTCAAGAATACGACAAGCTGTGTCCCATTCAGTGGGGCACAGCTTTCTGTCAGCGTGCTCATGAACGCATAGCGTTGCCACATAGCATCCACCACAAAGCTTTCACGAAAACGCTTCAACCACATTGGCACAGCCACATACATGTTACCGCGTAGCTACCACAACATAGTTTCCACCACCTAGCTTCTACCACATAGCTTCTACCACCAGAGTGCGAACTCTCACTGTTTAGGGTCCACAATGGCAAACATGTGTGCTAATACTTGTCCTCGGTATGCGCGCTGCTCTCATCGAATCGAGGACACGCAGCTATGTACGGTGCTGCTACTGATCCTGGCAAGGCACTTCGAATTTTTAGGACGGACGCCCTGGAACTCATCCTCGCCGTCGGCCGTCGGCTTCATTTCCTCCTGGATATCTCCTTACCCCTCTTCTGACTGATTATATCCCTTGCCGTCCCTCTTCCTGCCTATCGTTGTCCTCTTTCCATCGTTTTCCTCCTTCCCCCCTTCTCCTCTCCTCCTCCATTCATCCTCTCCTCCCCCTTCTCCTCTTCCTCCCCGCTCGCCTTCCTCTTCACCCCCCTTCACTCATGTTGGGACAGGATGCTCTGTGCGCGATCCCCAGGTGCAGGAGGCGCCACACCAGTAAAGGGTATTATTCCCAGTGGGAAGGAGGAGAAGGAGGATCGGAGATGGAGGATCTGTTGAAGGAGACGTTCGGTCACAGGGAGCCGGCGTGCAAATTATCTTGGTGGCGTGTCCAAGATACCGACGGTTTCACGCAGGATGTCTGCGTGGCGCTTGCCGTGAAGTTCCACGAATAGTGGGCCTGAGCGGATTGGACCGTTTGGGTAGTAAGAGATTCGTCCATTCTGGCACAAGCGAGCGAGCGAGAAGAAGAAGGAGGAGGACCGGGGAACGGGGCATGAGTTAGATGGGAGCTCGACAGGGAGAGAGGGCGCACAAGGGGAGATTTCCCCCTGTCCACTCGCCTTTGCCCCCCGCTCCTCTGACCATTGACCTCGACCTCGACCTTAATTTCTACCCTCAGCCCCTCCCCGGCCCAGACCTCCGACGTCGTGGCTTTTCTAGACGTTGGCCCTCGGAGCTGTTGACCCCGTCACCAGGCCCGGCGGTTTTTCTCATCGAGGGCCGCTTTTTGACGGTTCGGCCTCCGGAGTCCGAACTTCCGACACAGAGCCCGTCTCGTTTTCGTTCACGCTGTTGGGAGGCGTGGCCCCATTCTTCTCGCTTCGTCTTCTTTTTCCCCACATCCAAAGTGGGGTTCTTGTTTTCTCTGCACACCCCGCGCAGGAACACTCACCCCACCCCCTCTCCTCTTCTGCCTTCGCACACTCACTCACTCACTCATCATCATCACCACTCACTCACACTCACACTCACTCACACTCTCTCATCATCAACATCAGCATCATCACTCGCGCACTCTCACACGCTCAGTCACTCACATACTCATCATCATCATCATCATCATCATCATCATCATCATCATCATCATCATCATCATCATCATCATCACTCGCACTCTGTCGCACGCTCACTCATTCACATACTCACCTGGAGGGAGTCTTAGGCGGGAGTTCGTCTGTGAGTGAATTGTGAGGAAGTCTCAGGCGGGAGCCCCCTCCCTATGGGGCCCGCAGATCATGTTGGTAATCCGAGCGGGTCATCCAAACCCTGTGACTGTCGTCACTTTTGGGCTCCTCAAGCTTGAGTACGGAGGAAGTCTCAGGCGGGAGCCTCGTCTGTGAGTGAATTGCGAGGAAGTCACAAGCGGGAACCCCTCCCTATGGGGCCCGCGCTTCATGCTGGTAATCCGAGCGGGTCATCCAAACCTTGTAACTGTCGTCACTTTTGGGCTCTTCAGGCCTGAATTTGGAGGAAGTCTCAGGCGGGAGTTCGTCTGTGAGTGAATTGTGAAGAAGTCTCAGGCGGGAGCCCCCTCCCTATGGGGCCCGCAGATCATGTTGGTAATCCGAGCGGGTCATCCAAACCTTGTAACTGTCGTCACTTTTGGGCTCTCGCGCTGCCAGAACGCCACTCCCGGGCCACATTGTGCATGCCCGGAGCCAACTGTAGGCCACTTCGTGTTCGTGTTCCCAGAACGCCATTCCCGGGCCACATTTTGAAACCCCGGAGCCAACTGTAGGCCACTTCGTGTTCTTCCTGTTCCCAGAACACCATTCCCGGGCCACATTCTGGATGTCCGGAGTCAACGAAGACGCCGGCGACGACAGGGCGCCGAAGACGCCGACGACGACGGCCAGGCCGAGGCGTGGGCGCGGAGTTTGCTAATGTTCAGGCCCAGCGAAAAGGAGTTCACATGGCAGAGCTCGGGGCCGCACAACGTGCGCCGGTCGGGGTTCACCCTGACCCACGCGTCCTACCTGACCTCCACGCTGTCGCAGGGCCAGACGCTGCGCAAGGGCGTCACCATCGACTGCGCGAGAGACGAGGACGCTGGCCGCACGGGCATGTCTGACGAGCAGTGGTGGCTGCACCTCTACGTCATGCTCTCCCGCGCCACGTGCGTGCGGAACATGCTGATCCTGCGGCCGCCGCCGCGGGAATTCCTGGAGCAAGGGCCGCCAGCGTCCTTGCGGAATGCGCTCCTGGAGTTCGACAAGAGAGCGGTTTTGTCCAGGGCAGAAGCGAAGCAGCTCGCGGCAGAGCTGGGCTTCGTGCTGCCCGCCTGAGCGCGGCTGCGCCCCGCTCGAAGCCCGCGGGGTTGTCCCAACGGCTTGGTCTTGCGCGCAAGCGGCTCGCGGGGTTGCCCCGACAGCCTGGCCCGCGGGGTTGTCCCAACGGCTGCGCGACGTGGCCATTAGAGAACGCGCCTGTGCTGGCTGAGGCGGCGACGGCGCCGAGGAAAACCGACATGCGCGCTCGTGCAATGGAAAGGCGAGGCGGTGGCGGGGCGCGAAAGAAACAGGAGGGCAAGGTCGGGGGCAACGTAGGGGGCGGGGGGAGGGCCCGCGCCAGGGCGAGAAGAAATATACGCAGAAGAGACAGTCAGGATGCCTCACCAACCACGAGGACGACGGTGAGCGCTTTTTCCAGACTCGCCCAGAGGATTCTCATGTGGGGTCCTTCCGTCGGAGTAATTGCCCCTTGTGCTCTCCCCTCCTCGAGCTGGCGGGCTGCGCACGGCATGGTGCCTCTGGTTCGAGCTCCCGCTTCTTTTCCTGTCCTCTCGATCACCCAGGTCTCCTTTCCGACGGTTTTTCCGTGGCCGTTTTGGCTCAAGGTCGAATGCTCTTGCGCGAACAAAGTCGATACTGCTAGTCCGCGGCTAGATTTGACCCACCTTGCGGTGCCCTAGGTTTGCCCCAGAATACCGTCTGCAGCCCTTCAGCGGGCGAAAAGTGTCGCGGCCGCGCCTCTGTTTTCGGTCCGTGGGTCGCAATGGCACTCAAGGGCAGGGTGGGGCCTGCGGCAAAGGCAAGGACAAGTGTGGCAACAACGCCGGCTGCTCTGCCAGTCGGTACTGGTGGAACTTCCGAAGCTACCCTTGGTGCCACCAGTGCTGCGGGGCCCTCGCCCCCAACCCCCCGGCGGACAAGAAACCGAGAGGACGCTGGCACTTCGGCCCGGCAGCTCTCGCCTCAAACCCGCCCGCGCTGGCCGACGGCCGACGGCTCGGTGACCGCCGCCTCCGCCAACGCACCAGGCGCTGGTTCCAAGGGCCCGCCCGTCCCGCCGCAGGGTGCAGAGGGGCCGCCGGGGGTTCCGCGACCATGGGTCTGGCACGGGCCTGGCTGGTACCCCTGTGGCGGCGGCGTCGCACCCGAGCAGCGGGAGCACGTCTCAGGGCACTCCTCGCCCGACCCCGTTGCGGCTCTTCGCGCGGAGCTGGGTGATTACGAGTAGGTCAAGACCCTGGGGCCCAAGTTGTCGGCTAGGCCGAGCCAGTGCCTCC